GTGAAGCGGCGCTTGAGATCCTCGAAGGCCCCTGCTGCTTCCGGACCCCAGTGAATCTTGGTCCCTCCTCCCTTGGTAAGCGTCGTCAAGGGGGCTACCACCGAGCTGAAATTCTTGATGAACTTCCGATAGAAGTTAGAAAAGCCAATGAACCGTTGAACCTCCTTGACCGTGGCAGGTGTGGGCCAATCGTGGACCGCCTTGACCTTCTTGGGATCCATCTCTAGGTGCCCAGGAGTGACAATAAACCCGAGAAACTGAGTCTGAGAAACATGAAATTCACACTTCTCAGGCTTAACGTAGAGGTGATTGTCAAGGAGCCTCTGGAGAACCCGGCTAACATGCCCCTCATGCTCCTTCAGTGACCTCGAGAAGATGAGGATATCGTCCAGGTACACGAAGACGAACAGATTAAGCATATCCCGGAGAACATCATTAATCAGGGCTTGGAATACTGCGGGGGCATTGGTGAGCCCGAACGGCATCACCCGATATTCATAGTGCCCCGTGGGCGTGTTGAACGCCGTCTTCCATTCGTCTCCTTGCCGGATCCGCACGAGATGGTAAGCATTGCGGAGATCCAGCTTAGTAAAAATGGAAGCCCCTTGAAGCAGCTCAAAAGCAGTGGCCATGAGAGGAAGGGGGTATCGATTCCGAACCGTGATCTTGTTGAGTCCCCGGTAATCAATACAAGGCCTAAGACCCCCGTCTTTCTTTTCAACAAAAAAGAAGCCCGCCCCAGCCGGGGAAGTAGAGGCATAGATGAGGCCGGCTGCCAAGGACTCCTTAATGTAGGTGTCCATAGCTGCGTGCTCGGGGGAGGACAAGGAAAAGATCCGACCTCTAGGAGGGCAGCACCCAGGGAGTAGATCAATGGCACAGTCATACGTGCGATGAGGCGGTAAGGCAGTAGCCCGGGCCTTGCTGAACACTGCCTTGAACCGATGGTAAACACTGGGGACTCGGGAGACGTCAACAGACTCTTGAAACTGGGTACTAGGGGCTGAGGGACTCTGAAGCATGCAGGTGAGTTGACAAGTGGGACCCCAGCTTAGAATGGTGCCAGTAGGCCAGTCGATCTGGGGATTATGTCTGCATAGCCAAGGGTGACCCAGGATAATAGGATACTCGGGAGAGTCAATAAGATAGAAGGTCTCCTCCTGCTGGTGTTGAGAGATGGTAAGTCGCAGGGACTGAGTCGCCTCGGTAACCTTTCCTGGTTCCAGAGGTCTGCCATCTAAGGCTGTAACTGCCTGGGGTTGAGGAAGTAGTTGGGTAGGGATCTTAAGTTCCTTAGCCAAGGTTACATCCAGGAAATCACCTGCGGCACCGGAATCGATCATAGCCTGGACCCGATGCTGGTGGCCCCCCCAGGACAGAGTGGCTGGAATAGCCAGGACAGCGTTAGTAGGAGGCGCTCTAATTCTCCCCATCACAGCCCTCCTGTAGCTGGGCGGGGACAGGCGTTTCCCGAAAGCTCGGGGCAAGTGGAGCGGAAGTGGCCGGCAACCCCGCAGTAGAGGCACCGACGCTCCCTCATGCGACGTTCCCTTTCGTTGGGAGAAAGCCTGGAAAAAAAAATAAAAAAATAAAAATAAAATAATAATAATTATTATAACAACTAAAAAAACAAATAATTAAAAAAATCTTTCACAAGCCGGGCTAGAACTCCGGTCTCAGATGTGGAAAGCTGGGGGTACTACCCCTTAGCCACAGAGGAGGTGTTGTAGGACCCAAATGAAACACCCAAGGCAATACTCCAGGTAAGTTGATTTAATGTTCCAAAACAGGAGGCAAAACAAAACAACTCCACGAGGGGAGAAAAACAAACTAAAGATAACTTCGAACAGCTTACTAGGACAGACACGGTGGGACAAAGCAGGAGACACATAGTCAGGACGCAATAACCAAGTGAGAAACAAGGGGAAAACACACAGCTAAAATACTAAAGGGAAAACAAGGCACAGGTGACCTGGATCAAACTAATGAGGACACACGAGGAAGAACTAAGGCAGAGGGGAACACAGCTGACCTCTAGAGGCCCGGAGACAAACAGGAGAAGCAGGAAGCTGACAGGGTTAGGGTTAGGTTTAGGATTAGGGGTAGGGAAAATAGGATTTTGAATGGGACTGAATTGTGTGTCCCCACAAGGTTAGCTGTACAAGACTATGTGTGTGTGTGAGTGTGATTGTGTGTGTGTGTGAGTGTGTGTGAGTGTGTGTGTGTGTGTGTGTTGCACCACACAGCTCACGTGGGTATGTGCCGTGTCTGCACGCTCACATAAATGGCTAATTTCAAATCAAAGTTTATTGGTCGCGTACACAGTTTAGCAGATGTTATAGTGGGTGAAGCGAAATGCTTGTTATAGCATAATTATAATTTGCAGAGCAGTGTTCGCTTTGTGCTGTAAAAGCGGAGCCCTCTTCTCTCTTGGCGAGTCCTTTTAGTCTGCCTCAGATCAATAGTTAGATATTCATGTCAGAGAGACACAGGAAGGCAGAAAGGTGTTTGAAGGCTGGACAGATGGGAGAGCTCACAAAGGGGAATCCCTTTGATTTGCTATGCTCCACCTCCACCGCTTCCCCTCAATAGACATTGAATAGGGGAGCTCTTGGCAAAACAAGTGACAATCTGTTTTGAGATATCATGTGTCTTAATGAGGTGTTTATATAAGATCACGATTATGTACATTTAGATTGGTAATTGGTATTTGTAGAAATGTATTACAGTTGTATATTCTGGAAAGGCAAATGTAGATAGCAAATGCCTAGAATTGGACTTAAAACCTGCATACACAGGCATCCCTCCTCTATTGACGTTTGTCTGTCTGTGATGGTGTATGGCTATTGGCCTGTCATGTCAGATACATCAGTGTTGTATTAGAGAGCAGTGTGGTTGTGTGAGAACAGTAGTGTGTCTGGTGGTTGGGCTGAGGATAGAGGACCTAACCCTCTGCTATGATGGAGAGGATCATGCTGCACTACTGCATTACAGGTTATAGTGTGGGGGGGGGGGGGTTCTCAGACAGATGAACGCAAGTGTGCTCACCCTCAAACATTCAAACCCTCTTTCTCCTCTTTACTCCCTCTCTCTCTTTCTTTCTTTCTTTCTTTCTTTCTTTCTTTCTTTCTTTCTTTCTTTCTTTCTTTCTTTCTTTCTTTCTTTCTTTCTTTCTTTCTTCTTTCTTTCTTCTTCTTTCTTTCTGTTCTTTCTTTCTTTCTTTCTCTCTCTCTCTCTCTCTCTCTCTCTCTCTCTATCTCTCTCTCTCTCTATATCTATCTCTTTCTACCCCCCTTCTCTCTGTCTGTTAGTAAGATAGCATGCATCCCTCTGATACGTCAGCAGAAGAGTGGATTGTGATTCACTCTTAATAATCACAGGTTAGGCGCTATAATCTGTTTGGCATCTCCTGGACACAGATTAGGCCTAGTCCTGCATTAAAAAGCATTATCAATGGAGAATCTAAATTAAAAGTGCTTCTTTGTTAAGGACTAGGCTAATCTGTGTCTGTGAAACTGGCCCTATGAGCATAGGTTAGACCCTTGGACATGACTTCACATGTAGACAGTGGTTAGAACACCTTGTTTCCCTTACCATCCATAATGAACTTATTAAGGAGTATAAAACCACCTCCGCCTCTACTCCAGGGACATTGTTAGAGCTTTCAGAACATGTAGTTATCAGCTAATCACACACACATACAGATACACACGTGTGAATGAACTAGAACAGACACAAATGCACAAATGCGCACGCGCACACACACACACACACACACACACATACACTTATCAGCTAATCATTTCCTGAGAACAAAACATGTTCTAATCACTTGTGAGTGTGTTTGAGTGTTCACACGGGTAAACACGGGTCATCAGCTGGGATTTAAGGGACACTAAATGAAGTAAGGAGAACACACACAAAACACTCTTGCAAGCAGACATACATTAACACTTGTCCACAATAATAATATGCCATTTAGCAGATGCTTTTATCCAAAGCGACTTACAGTCATGCGTGCATACATTTTTGTGTATGGGTGGTCCCGGGGTTCGAACCCACTACCTTGGCATTACAAGCGCCGTGCTCTACCAGCTGAGCTACAGAGGACCACACAAGTGTGTACACATATTCTGTATACTACCCTCACACACACAATGAATAAAGCCGGGATTAAAAGATGTAGCTACTGTCTTCATTAATCCTTGCAGCAGCGTTTTAGATAGAAGAGACGAGAGAGTGGGAAAATAGTTCATTATTCAACTGAGTTCATTGTTCAAGAGAGGGACAACCTCGTGGTGCGTTTAAGTACCCCATGGCAGCACCTTAACGTCAGCCATATTCCTTTCCTCCATCCTTCCTCCCCCCTCCTCCACCACCTGTGGGCTATTTATATCTTGGGGAATCAAAGAGCCAATTAAAACGCAGCTGCACAAATGAGAGAGCCAGCAGACTGAGGTGAACTGTTGTTCACTCTAAGCCATCCTCGGTTTCAAAGAATGATCTGGAGCAACAAGTTGGGCTTACAAACGGTCTGGGGTTACCTTCCTTGAACACTCTTGAGCTACGGGTCAGATACTGTCATCAACCGCCTTGGTCAAGGGAGTGTTTTCAAACTGCAGTCCATCGAAGGTCTGGAGATACGCACTTGAGGAATAGACTAGTAGCCTCTGTTCTGTCTCGCTGGCTTAGATCTGTGGTCGTCTGGACATTCGGTGAAGCAGAAAAGTTCTCTACTTGGACACTATGTATAAAGGTGAGATTCACACTTTGCTCTTCCCTTTTAATATGGTTTTGGTGAGATCAAATAAAATAAGTGTGTGTTTTTGCAGCCCAGATAATGGGTTTGATAGGCTGGATTGAACAGGACTCTGGGTATTTCCCTCATCAACACTTGATGTGTGATAACGTGCTCTTCTGTGTGTTCACCCACAGGTGGTGCCTTGCATCAGAACCCCCTCCAGCCATGAGCTACCCCCATCCTAGGCATCCTGGGTAGGATGACGGCTGTGTGCCCCTCTGGGGTGGGCCCTGCTGGGGCTACGGTGGGGGGCTCCAGGGGGTCTGGGGCTGGGAGTACAACTGGGAGTACAGGGGGTCAGGACAGGAGATACGCCTGCTGGAGCCGTCAGGACAGCTCGGACATCACTACAGATGATGAGGGGGTCCCTGCCCGCCAACTCACCCCCCTGGAGAGGCTCAACCTCGACATGTGCCAGGACGACAGGTAGGACCAGGATGCCCAACACTCTCTTAGAAAACAACAAGAAAGAAGATTCATTATCACATGTATTGTTTTTCTGGATCATTTGTAAATGCTGATTATTTGGCAACCCCTCTGGTAACCCTACTGACAGGGTGGTCCGTGAGCTTACAGTGGGCCGACGTATCGGCTTCTACAAGGTCCACGGGGAGATCGGCTGTGGAAACTTCTCCCACGTCAAACTGGGGATCCACGCCCTCACCAAAGGTAAGGAAGACACCTGCCAAGCAGCAAACACATTAACTGATATTTAACATAACAGACACAGCCCTGCTGTACTGTAGATGCTCACCAAACCTTTGAATCTTTCAATTATTCATTCATAGACCAGTAAAAGTGAGAAGATATGTAGGCCTGGCCAATCTTCACTAAATATGCTGGCTTGAGTTGAATAGTTTTTGGAAAACCCCAGCTCCTCTGCTCCAGCAAAATCTCAAACCGCAGTGTTGACTGACTAGCTGTTTTCATCAATGAGCTTATAATACGTATCCTTAGATAGCTGTTTGCTAATGAGCCAGTGGTTTGGGCCTGTGGTCTGAATCAGCCACAGAGAGACAGCCTGTCTGCTGCCGTTGAAAGATGGATTGATTAGAGATTGTGTGTTTCCCTAACGACGGCTGGAATTGCTGCATGCTTCATCAAAGACTGAAGTGTGTTTGTATGAGTGAGTGTGTGTGTGTGTGTGTGTGTGTGTGTGTGTGTGTGTGTGTGTGTGTGTGTGTGTGTGTGTGTGTGTGTGTGTGTGTGTGTGTGTGTGTGTGTGTGTGTGTGTGTGTGTGTGTGTGTGTATGTGTGTATGTGTGTGTGTTTTTGTGTGTGTGTGGTATCGCTTGCTTAGTCCGACAAAGCAAAATGAGCTCCGGGGCATTTTTAAAGGCTGTCACTGAAAGCTGTGACAGAGCAGAAAGAGAGACTAATACCAGTCTTAATGAATTATGCATGTCAAAGCACAATTAGATATCTCAGCACCATCACACCGCTGAAGGACTTTTCCATACCCTATTACCAAAGGTCTTTGTTTTCTTCATTTATATTATTAATTAATTAATGCTATTGATATCAAGTATGGGTGCTACAGGTGAGGTCAGGGTGGTCGGTGCCGTTTAAGATGAGCATGGCATTATTTCTATTACAGCATATTGAATGACTGTCATTCTTAATCCATTCACCCAGCTCAATGTAACATTGATAGGTTTAGGCTACTACATGATACTCAAATTTGAGGTTATTATAACCTAGGCTACGAATGAAAGTTTACAACTTTGGTGCAAAAGTTGAGAGAAAAATGTGAGTAATCAAAGTGACAGACAGTGACACATTCAATACCACCTTGGACGCTCTTGCCTGCATCTAGCTGATCTAGGGTGTAATAATTAGTCCAACAGTTGCAAACAAGAGTTTCTATTGGACAAATGCAGGTATGTTTATCCCCGTTTCGTTTCGTTTGCTTCTGTCAGGTCAACATTCACAAGGCCGCAGGGCCAAACGGATTACCAGGTAGTGTACTCCGAGCATGTGCTGACCAACTGGCAAGTGTCTTCACTGACATTTTCAACATGTCCCTGACTGAGTCTGTAATACCAACATGTTTCAAACAGACCACCATAGTCCCCGTGCCCAAGGACACTAAGATAACCTGCCTAAATGACTACCGACCCGTAGCCATGAAGTGCTTTGAAAGGCTGGTCATGGCTCACTTCAACACCATTATCCCAGAAACCCTAGACCCACTCCAATTTGCATACCGCCCCAACAGATCCACAGATGATGCAATCTCTATTGCACTCCATACTGCCCTTTCCCACCTGGACAAGAGGAACACCTACGTGAGAATGCTATTCATTGACTACAGCTCAGGGTTCAACATCATAGTGCCCTCAAAGCTCATCAGTAAGCTAAGGTTCCTGGGACTAAACACCTCCCTCTGCAACTGGATCCTGGACTTCCTGACGGGCCGCCCCCAGGTGGTAAGGGTAGGTAACAACACATCTGCCACGCTGATCCTCAACACGGGGGCCCCTCAGGGGTGCGTGCTTAGTCCCCTCATGTACTCCCTGTTCACCCATGACTGCATGGCCAGGCACGACTCCAATACCATCATTAAGTTTGCCAACGACACAACAGTGGTAGGCCTGATCACCGACAACGATGAGACAGCCTATAGGGAGGAGGTCAGAGTCCTGGCCGTGTGGTGCCAGGATAACAACCTCTCCCTCAACGTGACCAAGACAAAGGAGATGATTGTGGACTACAGGGAAAAAAAACAGGACTGAGCATGCCCCCATTCTCATCGACGGGCTGTAGTGGAACAGGTTGAGAGCTTCAAGTTCCTTGGTGTCCACATCACCAACGAACTATCATGGTCCAAACACACCAAGACAGTCGTGAAGAGGGCATGACAAAGCCTATTCCCCCTCAGGAGACTGAAAAGATTTGGCATGGGTCCTCAGATCCTCAAAAAGTTATACAGCTGCACCATCGAGAGCATCCTGACTGGATGCATCACTGCCTGGTAATGCAACTGCTCGGCCTCCGACCACAAGGCACTACAGAGGGTAGTGCGTACGGCCCAGTACATCACTGGGGCCAAGCTTCCTGCCATCCAGGACGTCTATACCAGGCGGTGTCAGAGGAAGGCCCACAAAATTGTCAAAGACTCCAGCCACCCTAGTCATAGACTGTTCTCTCTGCTACCGCATGGCAAGCAGTACCGGAGCGCCAAGTCTAGGTCCAAAAGGCTTCTCAACAGCTTCTACCCCCAAGCCATAAGACTCCTGAACAGCTAATCATGGCTACCATTTGCACCCGGACCAAAATAATACTACGAAATATAGCTAGCTCTCGCTCTTGCTCTCTCAAATCAAATCAAATCAAATGTATTTATAAAGCCCTTTTTACATCAGCAGATGTCACAAAGTGCTTATACAGAAACCCAGCCTAAAACCCCAAACAGCAAGCAATGCAGATGTAGAAGCACGGTGGCTACGAAAAACTCCCTAGAAAGGCAGGAACCTAGGAAAAAACCTAGAGAGGAACCAGGCTCTGAGGAATGGCCAGTCCTCTTCTGGATGTGCCGGGTGGAGATTATAAGAATGCATTGCCATTAAGGCCAGATCGTTCATAGATGACCAGCAGGGTCAAATAATAATCACAGTGGTTGTAGAGAGTGCAGCAGGTCAGTGCCTCAGGAGTAAATGTCAGTTGGCTTTTCATAGCCAAGCATTCAGAGTCCAAGACAGCAGGTATGGTAGAGAGAGAGAGAAGAGAGGAGAGAGAGAGAGAGAGAGAGAGAGAGAGAGAGAGAGAGAGAGAGAGAGAGAGAGAGAGAGAGAGAGAGAGAGAGAGAGAGAGAGAGAGAGGGTTGAAAACAGCAGGTCCGGGACAAGGTAGCACATCCGGTGAACAGGTCAGGGTTCCATAGCCGCAGGCAGAACAGTTGAAACTGGAGCAGCAGCACGACAAAGTAGCAGGTCTGGTGAACAGGTCATGGTTCCATAACCACAGGCAAAACAGATTGTCATTCATTTGTTAAGAAATTAATTTGTTCATTGTTCAAAACTGTTCAACTATTGTCTCTCTCTCTCTTTGAGTCAACTACACACTACCTTTTATGCACTGCAGTGCTAGCTAGCTGTAGCTTATACTTTCAGTACTAGATTAATACTCTGATCCTTTGATTGGGTCGACAACATGTCAGTTCATACTGCAAGAGCTCTGATAGGTTGATGGACTTACTGTGTAAGTCTATGGAAGGGGATGAGAACCATGAGCCTCCTTGGTTTTGTATTGAAGTCAATGTACCCAAAAGAGGACGGAAACTAGCTGTCCTCTAGCTACACCATGGCGCTATCCCAGAGATTGCTGTTGAGGCAACTGTAGAACTTCCTTGCAAAACAGTGTGTTTTAATCAATTATTTGGTGACGTGAATATACACTACTTGACCAAAAGTATGTGGACACCTGCTTGTCGAACGTCTCATTCCAAAATAATGGGCATTAATATGGAGCTGGTCCCCAATTTGATGCTATAACAGCCTCCACTCCTCTGGGAAGGCTTTCCACTAGATGTTGGAACATTGGTGCGTGGACTTGCTTCCATTCAGCCACAAGCGCATTAGTGATGTTAGGCATGTATGTTGGGTGATTAGGCCTGGCTCACAGATGGCGTTCCAATTCATCCCAAAGGTGTTCGATGGGGTTGAGGTCAAGTCTGTGTGCAGGCCAGTTAAGTTCTTCCACACCGATCTCGACAAACCATTTCTGTATGGACCTCGCTTTGTGCATGGGGGCATTGTCATGCTGAAACAGGAAAGGGCCTGCTCCAAACTGTTGCTACAAAGTTGGACGCACAGAATCGTCTAGAATGTAATTGTATGCTGTAGAGTTAAGATTTCCCTTCACTGGAACTAAGGGGCCTAGCCCGAACCATGAAAAAAAGGGCCAAGACCATTATTCCTCCTCCACCAAACTTTACAGTTGGCACTATGCATTGGGGCAGGTAGCGTTCTCCTGGCATCTGCCAAACCCAGATTTGTCCGTCGGACTGCCAGATGGTGAAGCGTGATTCATCACTCCAGAGAACGTGTTTCCAATGGCGGCGAGCTTTACACCACTCCAGCCGACGCTTGGCATTGCGCATGGTGATCTTAGGCTTGTGTGCGGCTGCTCGGCCATGGAAACCCATTTCATGAAGCTCCCGACGAACAGCTCTTGTGCTGACGTGGCTTCCAGAGCAGTTTGGTAGTGAGTGTTGCATCAGAGGACAGACGCGCTACGCGCTTCAGCACTTGGCGGTCCCGTTCTGTGAGCTTGTGTGGCCTACCACTTCGAGGCAGAGCCGTTGTTGCTCCTAGCTGTTTCCACTTCACAATAACAACACTGACAGTTGACCGGGGAAGCTCTAGCAGGGCAGAAATTTGACAAACTGACTTGTTGGAAAGGTGGCATCCTATGACGGTGCCACGTTGAAAGTCACTGAGCTCTTCAGTAAGGCCATTTATCTGCCAATGTTTGTCTATGGAGATTGCATGGCTGTATGCTCAATTTTATACTCCAGGCAGTAACGGCGTGGCTGAAATAGCCAAATCCACTAATCTGAAGGGGTGTCCACATACTTTTGTATATATAGTATATTTAGTATAGTTTTTTCTAAAAAGAATAACTTTTGTTATTGTTTCACTATAAAAAATAAAATAAAAAAACATTCACTGAGGAGGATGGTCCTCCCCTTCCTCCTCTGAGGAGTCTCCACTGGTAGAGGTTGCCCTTAGGCACAGATCTAGGATCAGCTTACTCTCCCCAAAGCCAAATCAGAACACCTTCACCCCTCTCCTAAATGGGTCGAATTTGATGTTTTGATGTTCAATTTGTTCTCTACAACCTACACAGTATGTGTGATCATCATTTCTGTTCGGTTATTTCTGCTCTGTCCTGTCGTCTCATCAATAGTCGAATACGAATTTTCAAGATAGTAATGTTCTTGTTGAAATGAGTAATACTTAGAATTGATTGTTTTAGAATAGGCTATAATCAAGAAAATGGGTTTCCACAGAAATCAAGCTCTCTAACAAATTAGTTAGTTGCCTCAGTCAGAGAAAATGGACAATATACAATAGAATACAAGAAAGCAATAACATAAGCCTATATCTAACGGTTTGCAGGTTTGTCTAGGCTTCTACAGCTCTTTTAAAGCTACATTCTGGGATTTGGTCCCAGATCCGGTCATAGACTTTAGCTGCTTGCTCTGGTGTGCCCCCAGAGGATGGGTGGAGACTTCCAGCATTGTGACATTTAGTTAGGCAGTTTGCGATTTGTTGTCTGTGTTGCCAGGCACCATGCTGGGTGTTGTATGTAATCCTGTTCATTACATTATAGTCATGGAGGTAAAGGAGAAGGCTGAGGGACTACGGAATGAGCTGAACCCCAGACATCAGATAGCTGTCCTTGAGGTTTTCAATGGTCAGTTGTTCCACATAGTTAAAGTCAGCATTATCCAGCTCCTCCCGTGCCTCATCTCAGGACTAACATCCACAACATTGACTGGCTCATATTCAGTCAACTCCTCCTAGCTCCTCCTGCTGGTTCTTCTGATTCCTGCAGTAAAGGAAGCTAGCACCAAGTGTACACTGATGGCCAATGCTGCAGGACAAGCAAGCCACTTTGACAAGAGAGAAATCTGCAGATACTCGCCATTGGATAGGCTAGCTAGCTATGCATTTTGGATCACTTTGATTAGATCGCTGTAAAGCACATCCTCTTGCCACAAGTGTAAATCAGGACCTGGGCATTTCCCGGAATATTGAACCACATTCCACAACTGATATTGAATGTAAATATTTATTACCATAGTGACAGAATGAAACAGAAAAGTTTGAAAAATGTCGGTCCTTAATTTTTATTTATTTAACCTTTATTTAACCAGGTAAGCCATATGACATCATACTTGACAAAGCCACCTAGCTTGGAATGTTGTAGAATGGACACGTTTCATCGGCCACATAACTTGCTTATGCATACAGATATGCTAATGAAGTGTGTGTCGACATCCACAAAGTATTGCACAGTCTTTTCAATATAGAATAAAACACCAAAAGCTTAAACAGCCTACTCCTTCTCTCAACCTCTACTTTTTGGTACTACCTTCTATGTTGTCCTCAGGTATGGTTCAGAGGCTTAATGAACAAGTCCCTCTGTCTGTTCTCCTTCAGATAAGGTGGCCATTAAGATCCTGGATAAGACCAAGCTGGACCAGAAGACCCAGAGGCTACTGTCCAGAGAGATCTCCAGCATGGAGCGACTGCACCACCCCAACATCATACGTCTCTACGAGGTGGGTCACACACACACACACACACACACACACACACACACACACACACACACACACACACACACACACACACACACACACTGACACTCACACACACACACACACACACACACACACACACACACACACACACACACACACACACACACACACAGCCTCCCAGGCAAAGGCTGTGTTATACACCTGTTCATGTTAAGGAATGAGTTACACAAAGCCTGGTCAGAAACTAAGCTAAGGTCATCAGTGCAGTGCACTTAAACAGAGTTTATCAGGAGACGATTTGACCATCCTCTCTCTGCCTTCCTGCCGGGTGACAGGTGGTGGAGACATTGTCACGGTTACACCTGGTGATGGAGTATGCTGGTGGAGGAGAGCTCTACACCAAGATTAGCATGGAGGGGAAACTGTCGGACATCGACAGCAAGATCGTCTTCTCTCAGATCCTCTCGGCTGTCAAACACATGGTATGGCTCAGGGTTGCAGTCCTACTTACATATACTTTTCAGTGTAATCGTCAGGGCCCACCCAAATAAATATTATGCAGTCTCTTTTCCGTTGTGCAACATTGAATGTCATTTAAAGAATATGAGATGTATTTAAAGTACATATTGGTATGTTTACCAGATAAATCTTTGACCCGCCCCACAGCATGACAACAGCATCATCCACCGTGACCTGAAGGCAGAGAACGTGTTCTACACCTGCAGCACCTGCGTCAAGGTGGGAGACTTCGGCTTCAGCACGCTGAGCCGCCGCGACGAGACCCTCAACACCTTCTGCGGCTCCCCGCCCTACGCCGCGCCTGAACTCTTCAGGGACGAACACTACCTGGGCGTCTACGTAGACATCTGGGCCCTGGGCGTCATGCTGTTCTTCATGGTGACAGGAACCATGCCCTTCAGGGCGGACACAGTGGCCAAACTGAAGCACTGCATCCTGGAGGGGGCCTATGTGCTGCCCTCCTGGGTACAGGAGCCCTGCCAGAGGCTGATCAGAGGCATCCTCCAGCCCCAGCCCTCAGACCGCTGCAGTGTGGAACAGATGATGGGCTGTGAGTGGCTGCTGCCTGTAGACTTCCCCCGGGCCATGGAGCCCTTTAAACTGGACCCGTCCTATCTGGCAGAGAGCACGCCTTCAGAGTTGGAGGAGGATGATGCGGAGGTAAGGGAGGCGCTGGAGTTACTAGGGATCACCCCGGAGCATATCTTAAATAATCAGGGGAAGGACTGTAGGAGTTCTGTTACGGGCGTTTATAGGATTCTGTTGCACCGTGCGCACAAGAGGCGGGCGGTGGAGAGCATGCCTGTGGTTATGCATGTGGTCGGGGCCAGCGTGAGTAAAAAGGACCGATTAAAGGTGTACCACAGCTTACGGCACACCTCCAAGCTTTGTGTGATTCTGTGACGAAAAGCCTTTACTCCTATAGTTTAACTATGTTCTATTTTTTCAGTAAAAATTTGTGACTGCAAAACGGCAAAATGTTCACCGCAGATAAGAGTAACTAAATAAGTCCTAAAGTTGGGATTGATGTTAGGATTTTTCTTATTTTTAAATCAATCTCTGTGAGAATATACTTTAGCCTGGGTGCCAGTCTTTTTCGATGTTATCTTACCAGACAAGGCAAAAATGTTACACTTTTCTCCAAAGTGACATACTATTAACACATACGTATATTCATATATGACCTCATGCAGCAATAAATCCCACAACTCTGGTGTTGCAATCACAACCTGAAGCGACTGAGCCTTGGTAAAACCAGATGTAGCATTGTGGAATGCAGAAAGAGTCAAGCATCCAGGCTAATGAGAATGATGAATGTGATGATTTGAATTAGAAATCAGGAGGTGATTATGTCTCGAATGTTTTATTGCACTGTTTTTGAGAGGCATTTGTTTTTTCTTTCCAGTTACATGACATCATGAGTCTAGACATTGTTTTCATCTCCTATTTCATAAATGCATGTTATTTTTATTCATTTTGCATATGATATCCTAGGGCTGGCTGGGGGTACTCGAGGAGAGGTTTGGGATGTCTATTGATATCTCTTAGCCTGAGTGCCAGTCTGTTTGTGCTATCATGCCAACTCCTTGTCACTCATTGTCATGCCAAACATGTTTGGCTTGACAATAAGCAATAGAGTTGGCAAGAGCACAAACAGATCTGGGACCAGGCTAGATATCAGCAGGTAACTAGTTGAAAGGAACACATTGGCCTATTGGCCTGGTTGGGTTGACAGTTATTTGTACACCTTACCTGTCAACTCCAATAATTACATTTTCAATTGTTATGATGCCATATTACTGCCCTATATATCTTTTAAAAATATTAAATAAAATGCTGAAATACTTTGCTTGTTGTCCTGTAATGTTTCTATAAACTTCACGTGTCTATGTTCATTACAAAACGTCTTTCTCGTCTGGGGTTAATGGATTTATATTATGGACAATAAATGGTGTCTGTATCTGATAAGAAACTACCCTAATGTCTTACTTTCAGTTCAGTAACAGTAACAGCAAGTCCCCTGTAACTCAGTTGGTAGAGCATGATGCTTGCAACGCCAGGGTTGTGGGTTCATTTCCCACGGGGGCCAGTATGAAAATGTATGCACTCACTAACTGTAAGTTGCTCTGTATAAGAGCATCTACTAAAATAAAATAAATAAAATAATGTCGACTCTAACCTGTGGGTGAAACTGAGGGGGACATGATGCGTTTGCCTAATGTACAGTATGCCTCTCTTCATACAGCTCAATATTTTCTGAAGAAACAACAATATCAAAGGTGCATGTTTGACAGAAAATGCCATTATATCCTATCAACCAATACATTTTCACAAGCAGTAAACTTCATCCATCTGTGATGCCTTTGATTCAAACCAAATATGGTTTAGTATGGTTTTAATCTGTGATCATACTGTATGTCCAGTATGAAAAATGTATGCACTCACTAACTGTAAGTTGCTCTGGATAAGAACGTCTGCTTAAATGACTTAAAAAATATTGAAAAATACTGTACACTACATTTCCCATAAGGACAATGGACAAATCTTACGCATGCTGACTCGTCTATACGTGATGACGCAATTTCTGTCTTGTTGGAACTGGAAGGTGATTTCATCAGGAAGAGTGTAGTCGTACTTGAAAGTGTACATTACAAGACCAAAGACAGCAACGGCGAATAGACTACGAAAATAGCTGCACTGACTCACTCGAATGCTATTCTACCTTGTCAGGCAGAATACTGAGAAAGGTAAGAATATTTGAGACATGATAAATTAATGCTATTTATTTCATTAATAAACGAACACATACAACAACGACCACGCCCTCAGCAATATTTGCACAGATTAAACAGTCGTGTTGGCACATTTCTAACGTTATAGCTGCTGTCCGTTTAAGGATGTGTAAAGCCGTGGTGTGCAGTTTATGACAGTCGAATCTTTATATTTTATGGAAATGTTATTTGTCAAATTTGGTAGGTCATGGAACATACATTGGCTGGTCAACTATGCAGCATATTTTGCTTTGGCAAGCAAACTCTTGATTGGCTAACTAAACCTAACCAGCTAAATCTGATGGGCCCCAAGCCTACCTACTAGCTAGTCACCCTTGATGCACTGACACTGCAGACACGTTTCTATGCTAACAATGCTCTTTCTTGTAGGTAACGCTAGCAAGATAAACTAGGCCAACAATGTATCTGGCAAACGTTACCTAGTTAGCTTGCTAACTAACCCTCAGCCTACTGAGCACATAAACTGTGTTACATGTATATGTGAGCTAGATTATTCTCAGTAGTAGTTCATATCAAATGTGAATACTTTATCCAGATCTGAAGTGCAATATTATCGTCTTCTATCGACACACGAACATTTTATGCCGCGTTCACGTGCTATTCACGTGCTAACCTAAACTCGGAAACTCTCCGATTTGCTAACTCGTTGTAGTTATACACGTTCCGCGTTCAACGAATCAGCAAGTCGGACATTTCCGAGTTTCGTAGTTCCGACTTGCATATGAACGCGGCAGTAGACTGGCTTGTTTTGTTGATTCTCATGTGACAAAGGGAGAAGTGGGCGGGGTGATGTATAAGTATGAGGTCATTCATGGGGGCGCGCAGCTGTTTACTGGGTGGGGACTGCCAAACACTAGTGACTGGTCCAACCCTCACTGCAGTGTCTCTCCAGAATACCTCATGTCCAGAAATCACGATATAGAGTTTAAAATTAAAGATACAGTTATTGGGTAGGATATTCCAATATATTTGCCCTTTATTTGAACACGAATGAGTTCTGTCACAATCCTCTTATCACACGTCATTGAAGTGGACCTACCCCCAAACCAAAGTCCTGTATTTCCTGATTGTCTGATTGTAATGGTGACATCGCTGATTCTGTTTTCCCAGATGTCAGTCACAGAGGATCTTCCTGATATGGATGGAGTGGATCTGCTGGGGATCCTGTTCCAGTATGGGGAGACTGGAGCCAACGATCCCTTCTTCCCAGATGGGAATGGGCTAGAAAACTGGCTTGCGGAGCATGATGTATGTCTCCCACTTAGGAATAAGACTGTTTTTTATGTTTGCTAACCAATAGGCTAATAGAGTTTTAGTAATTGGCAGGGAACAAACCATTCATTTAATGGCATGTAGAGTACTATTAAAGCAGAATTATTTTTTTGTTTTACATCAATAATGTGATAAACTTCCTTATAGTGCTGAGCGATTAACTGAAAAGTCGGTTTTTAGACTTTTTTTACAAATAATTGTACCGACGTTGGTTCAATTATTTGAATTCCATTTCATTAGTTTTTTTCTGTGAGCTCGATGTGCAGTTTCTCTAGAGATAAATCAGATCAAGCCCGAACTGTGCGAAGTAGTAGGGAGTTGTAGTTTCCATCAGACAATATTCTACATACAGTGGGGAGAACAAGTATTTGATACACTGCCGATTTTGCAGGTTTTCCTACTTACAAAGCATGTAGAGGTCTGTAATTTTTATCATAGGTACACTTCAACTGTGAGAGACGGGAATCTAAAACAAAAATCCAGAAAATTACATTGTATGATTTTTACGTAATTAATTTGCATTTTATTGCATGACATAAGTATTTGATACATCAGAAAAGCAGAACTTAATATTTGGTACAGAAACCTGTGTTTGCAATTACAGAGATAATACGTTTCCTGTAGGTCTTGACCAGGTTTGCACACACTGCAGCAGGTATTTTGGCCCACTCCTCCATACAGACCTTCTCCAGATCCTTCAGGTTTCGGGGCTGTCGCTGGGCAATACAGACTTTCAGCTCCCCCCAAAGATTTTCTATTGGGTTCAGGTCTGGAGACTGGCTAGGCCACTCCAGGACCTTGAGATGCTTCTTACGGAGCCACTTCTTAGTTGCCCTGGCTGTGTGTTTCGGGTCGTTGTCATGCTGGAAGACCCAGCCACGACCCATCTTCAATGCTCTTACTGAGGGAAGGAGGTTGTTGGCCAAGATCTCGCGATACATGGCCCCATCCATCCTCCCCTCAATACGGTGCAGTCGTCCTGTCCCCTTTGCAGAAAAGCATCCCCAAAGAATGATGTTTCCACCTCCATGCTTCACGGTTGGGATGGTGTTCTTGGGGTTGTACTCATCCTTCTTCCTCCAAACACGGCGAGTCGAATTTAGACCAAAAAGCTCTATTTTTGTCTCATCAGACCACATGACCTTCTCCCATTCCTCCTCTGGATCATCCAGATGGTCATTGGCAAACTTCAGACGGGCCTGGACATGCGCTGGCTTGAGCAGGGGGACCTTGCGTGCGCTGCAGGATTTTAATCCATGACGGCGTAGTGTGTTACTAATGGTTTTCTTTGAGACTGTGGTCCCAGCTCTCTTCAGGTCATTGACCAGGTCCTGCCGTGTAGTTCTGGGCTGATCCCTCACCTTCCTCATGATCATTGATGCCCCACGAGGTGAGATATTGCATGGAGCCCCAGACCGAGGGTGATTGACCGTCATCTTGAACTTCTTCCATTTTATAATAATTGCGCCAACAGTTGTTGCCTTCTCACCAAGCTGCTTGCCTATTGTCCTGTAGCCCATCCCAGCCCTGTGCAGGTCTACAATTTTATCCCTGATGTCCTTACACAGCTCTCTGGTCTTGGCCATTGTGGAGAGGTTGGAGTCTGTTTGATTGAGTGTGTGGACAGGTGTCTTTTATACAGGTAACGAGTTCAAACAGGTGCAGTTAATACAGGTAATGAGTGGAGAACAGGAGGGCTTCTTAAAGAAAAACTAACAGGTCTGTGAGAGCCGGAATTATTACTGGTTGGTAGGTGATCAAATACTTATGTCATGCAATAAAATGCAAATTAATTACTTAAAAATCATACAATGTGATTTTCTGGAGACTGAGAGAACGTGCGATCGAGAGGGATAGAATCAGTTGTTTCACGAGTGTGAAAATACATGATCTAAGTAATTGACAGTTGGTATTCAGAAGTCATATTTACTTTGAAGAACTACTAAAATAGTGATTTTGTCAGACGGCATAGGCAGCAGCTCTATAGAGATGAGACGATGACTTGGAATGAAATAATAAAGTCATAAAATATTTTATTAAAGTGAAGTATTTTAAGAAATTATGGTTTAATACGTGATAAGCAGTAATGGGCAGTCACTACCATCATGGGACTTTTATTAATTGTTTTATTCATTGTTGTTACAACATTCAACCCACATAATGCAAAGTGCATTTAATGTAAAATAAAATGATCAAAATCGAAAACTGTGTTTTTTAATGATCGAACTGAAACCAAACCGACTCCAAAAAGCACTAATCGCTCAGCACTACTTCCTTACTTTAAAGGAGAATAACTATTTTTCACATTTGCTCTTTGTCGAATAAACAGTCATATTGAATTGAATGGACACCAACGTTCTGCTGTGTTGTAGATGCTGACAGGCATGGACACTGAGGACTTCCTGTCCAGCCTGCTGGAGGGAGAAGACAACATGGCCACCTCGTGTGTTTCACACTCTCCACTGGGAAGCGACAGCGGCATCTCTGACGACAGCAGCAGTGGCGGCGTAGTCGGCCAGAACTTCCTGGCCTGTCCCAGCCCCCAGGGGAGTGACAGTGACCCCGCGCCCAGCCCAGGGTACTCCCAGCCCAGCCCGGACTACTCAGACACTCCCCTGATGGCCCTTGAGCTCGAGGCTGAGAGCCCTGAAGCCCTAGCTGTGCAGACGGACCACAGCTACTCTCTGCTCCAGGGAGGAGACATGGATGCTCTACAGAGCGTGAGGGCTGAGAAGCCTGACATGGATGTCTTTATTGATCTGGGTATGTGTTGATCTAGACCTTTTATACTTGGCTAACAGGTTCATAGCTTTGGGTGGTATGAAAGAATGAAGGAATAGTTGCATGACATCAAATTGGCTGTTGTCAGTTAAACTAATTGGATAGTTTGTTGGTAGTTTGAGCGTCTACAGACTAACTGTAGACTGACTTTAGGGGAATCCTGAATAATGCAGCCTTTTCCATGTTTTTGGGATTAAGTCCAGCAGATTTGAGTCCAGTCACTTGACTCTTGTCCTTGGGCTAAAAGATTTCACAAGAATATCCTAGTAAGGTTTGAGAACTTTACTGTTCATGTGAACAGAAACAATGAATATGTGGTGTTTTTGGCTCTCCTGTTCATCAGACGACCTGGACAGTGAGGGGATGGAAATGGAACAGATCTATTCCAGTGAAGAACTTCCCTGTGCTCTCGCCATAGAGGACTCTACACAGAACAACAAAGCTGATCTGGTGAGTTTCACATAATCAAATGGGTATTATAGACGAGGAAACAAGATGATGAAACAAGTCTTGAAGATGGCCCCGTGTAGGTCAGTTGGTAGAGCATGGCGCTTGCAACGCCAGGGTTGTGGGTTCGATTCCCACGGGGGGTCAGTATGAAAAAATGTATGCACTCACTAACTGTAAGTCACTCTGGATAAGAGCGTCTGCTAAATGACTAAAATGTAATCCACAGTAGGGGAAAAGGCTGTTTTTGTTTTGTTGATGAAGCGGAGGGGAGGAGCATCGCCCAACGTGTTACAAAAAAATTGGCAGTACATATCCTGCTTTTGCATCGCACGTCTGTTGTTTGTGTCTGTTTACAGTAACTTCTTTGATGTAATATCGCAAATGGACGTGGCAATTTCATCATTAAGGATTCCAGTTTTAAATACGCTTGTCAAACTTATTGCCAAACTCATTGTTTTAGTAAGAATGGCACTGACTACATGATTTGAGTACATCAGGGTTCCCCAACTGGCTGAATTTTATTTGGCCCCCAAGTTTTCTGAGCTAAAATCGTATAGAAATGTAAACAAGGTTTGAAATGTTTTAGTCAAATATTATATCCGTTTGGGCTTCTTGTGGTCAATTTGTAGTCTCAATCAATTACATTTATTTGTGAAGCCCTTTTTACATCGGCAGATGTCACAAAGTGCTTATACAGAAACCTAGCCTAAAACCCCAAACAGCAAGCAATGCAGATGTAGAAGCACGGTGGCTAAGAAAAACTCCCTAGAAAGGCAGGAACCTAGGAAGAAATCTAGAGAGGAACCAGGCTCTGAGGGGTGGCCAGGCCTCTTCTGGCTGTGCTGGGTGGAGATTATAAGAGTACATGGCCATTAAGCCCAGAGTGTTCTTCAAGATGTTCAAATGTTCATAGATGACCAGCAGGGTCAAATAATAAGATTATGTCTGGTGAGAGAACATTTTGTTCATGTACTCCGGGGATCATGACTAGATTCAGCAAATGATTTGTAATTATTTTCCGGCCCCCTGACCAGCCCTCAAGAACAAAATCGGCCCGCGGCTGAATCTAATAGTTACGATCCCTGGAGTACATGAACAAAATGTCATCGCATAAGACATAATCTTAGTGGCAAAGTGGTGTACGTGTGGCCTTGAGCAGATCTCATAAAAATGTTTTTCTTCCCTTTAGTTCCAGTTCAAGGAGATTGTTCTGACTGATGAGGAAAGGAGACTTCTCGCTAAGGAAGGAGCAACCATACCGTCTTGTATGCCTCTTACTAAGGTCATTTTCTCCATTAATTTATTACAAATACTTGTTGATGCACTGGAGACCAACCTAGAAACCATTGTAAACATTGATCTAATTGGCATTCAGAGAGCACCCCTTAAAAATGACAGCCAGATAATGGAGCTCTCAGGCTAGGACAGGGTGAGATAATGGCTAATGGGGTTAGCTAGGGAGGTGTGACACAATCTACCCAATTTGTTGCTACCTTAGTGTTGAGCTTGCTAATATGAAGGGATAATCTATCAGAGGAGGCTGGTGGGAGGAGCTATAGGAGGATGGGCTCATTGTAATGGCTGGAATGGAATTAATGGAACTGTATCAAACATGGAAAACACATGTTTGACTCTGTTCCATTTATTCCATTACAATGAGCCTATCCTCCTATAGCTTCCCTCACCAGCCTCCTCTGTAATCTATGTTTCATATTTGGCCAGTGAACAGAAAATGTCTATTAAATAATAGAAATCTCTCCTGCACGCACGTTTGACTACAGCGTAATTATTTGTTGACATTTCATTCAAGTTGACCTTTTTTCAAAGCGAGAAAAAAATTAAACCCTGCAGAATCACATCCAATCAAACCAAATGAGAAACCTTCCCAGATAGCTTGTTTTTGGCTCCAGCAGTGAGATGGCAGACTGCTCCTCAGCACTGTGTACTATCCGCTCAATCATGTCAAGCACACGGGCCCGTGTAGCTCAGTTGGTAGAGCTTGCGCTTGCATGCCAGGGTTGTGGGTTCGTTTCCCACGGGGGGCCAGTATGAAAAATGTATGCACTCACTAACTGTAAGTCACTCTGGATAAGAGCGTCTGCTAAATGACTAAAATGTCAACGTAAATGATGAGTAGCCCTTCCTCCCCTCTCTCTTTGTCGCAGACGGAGGAGAGGACCCTGAAGAGGGTGAGGAGGAAGATACGCAACAAGCAGTCGGCCCAGGAGAGTAGGAAGAAGAAGAAGGTGTACGTAGATGGCCTGGAGAACAGGTGAGAGAACGAATGGATGGATCTCTGAAAATGAGTTGAAAGCCAGCACACACAGTACTAATAAAGTATTAATCATTGTATGATTGATTTCACCATTTCACTTCACCAATGTTTAGCCTGTTATGTCTTCATCGGGTCAAAAGGTGTTTGTGTGTGTTAAGTAGGGTTTGATTGGTTGATTGACTGAGTTGTTGCTGATTGGTCCCTAGGGTTTCCATCTGCACCGCTCACAACCAGGAGCTGCAGAAGAAGGTCCAACAGCTGCAGAAACAAAACATGTAGGACACCACTGCTGTTATCATGATTATGGAATGAATGTTCTTATGATAAGCATCAGAGAATGAATGAATGATGTTTGTAGACTAATATTGTTCATTGAGAAAATGTCTGATGGTTATTATTATTATTCTTCTCCCCCCTGTCTAGGTCTCTGATAGAGCAGCTGAGGAAGCTGCAGTCCATGATGAAGATGTCTACCATGAAGACAACCACCACCAGCACCTGTGTGATGGTAAGAGGACTAACACACAGAGTAGATCTTAACACTTACACCACCACATATCCTTTGTTTGGGATTCTGGGAATTAAAACTAGTAGTAACCTACTAGTACTGAAGGACTCCCACACACAAGTTTACGTCTGCAGATGTATTTAGTTGACATTTTGGTTGTAAAGCTTTTTCAAATTGAAGTTAAACTTTAACATGGTGGTAAGTCGCTCTGGATAAGAGCGTCTGCTAAATGACTTAAATGTAAATGTAATGGTGGGTGCTGAGGCAGCTACGTCATGTTCTTTCAGGTTGCCAGCTCAGCATGTGTTGACATTTTTATAGCTTCAACTGTTTGGGGCATTATAGCCCAACCCTGATTGAGGCTTGATTATGGTTTCATATGGTGCTCAAGGAGTGCCTGTACTGTATAAGTGTACTTTATGTAAGTGTACTATTGAGGCCAAAGCAACTTGGAGTACCCATTATTTTGTCCCACTGCCAAACAATGGTATATTGGAAACATAAACCAACAAGTACTTCCGCTTCGGTTAACAAAAGGCGAGCGTGCTGCTTGGGTCCGTAATGAGAGTAATGATATTTCTTATACAAAACAAGGTTACTTTAACATAGAAAAACAAATGGAAGATAACATTAAGTTTTCAATGTTTTAACTTCCTCTCTCTTTTTTTTTTTTTTTACAGTAAAATACTTTTTGCATTCATCGTTGTAAACCGATGTACCTCATCTACTGGGTTTGTGAATCTGGGTCGCACACACCAGATTTTTAACAGCTTTCTTACGTTTGTTTTTTTCTCTGCTCAGGTGTTCCTGCTGTCTTTCTGCCTGATCATCTTCCCCTCTGTCAACCCGTTTGGCCGCAGCCCTGAACAGAAGGAGATATACACCCCCTCTTCCGGTAAGTCAGAAGAGAAGTGTCGTCTGAAATGCTGAAGCTATGTTTAAAAACTATGAATAACATGTTCTTCTGTTGAAAATGGCATTAATTTAGAGTATAAAGAAGAGCAATAAACAACATCTAAAATTGTTCACAAATATTTCCTGTCTCTTCCAGTTAAGGTGCTGTATGAAACATTGTGTAAGAATTCAGAAGACGTTAACAAGCCTTTCCCCTCTGAACTGTAGTTGTGTCCAGGACCCTGCGCTCCGTGACTGTTGATTACACCCCAGACCCCATGCCCCTGGCTTACTCTGAGCCTGTGGAGGAAGCTGACAATGCTGAGCCGCCCTCTATCAGCCTCCTCCTAGTGGCCAAGGTAGAGAACCCCAAGGCCATGTTCACTGGCGGCCAGAACCACACACCTGACTACCAGAAGGTGGAGCAGTCGGAATCAGAGAGCGGGGTCAACAGCAACTCGTCTGTAGACTTCCCCAACCCAGGACAGGCCGAGCAGAAGCCGGGGGCCGGGCCCGGGGGCCTGCAGGAGGGATCCAGAGATCCAGTGGGAACGCCTGTGGCCTACGAGGTTCCAGGGACCAAGGAAAACTGGATCGACAGGAAGCCAACGTCCATCATTATACAGCAACACCGCTCGGATGAGATGTAGACAGAAGAGTCAGTGGTGAATTAACTAACAGAGGGAGGAAGGGGCTAATCAAAGGTTTCAGTTAGTATTAATAATGTTTGATTGAAACTTGGTGGGGAAAAAAGGGTATTAGACATTATTATTATCAGTGTTCCCTCTCTCTCTACCTGTTCCTCCTTCTCCTGGTGATACTACTGTTCCTCTTTGAGCACTTTGTTCTGATGTTCCGTTCCAGTGGTAGAATGGACTACTGAGATTTCCATTGTTATGCGTTATCATCATCCTCATGGGGGGGGGGGGTGTACACTATGAAAGTGAATAGTCATGTGTTGAAATCTCCAGCAGGTTGTCCTGCTAAGTACTTTGCTAGCAAATGACCAGTTCCTTCCACAGCGCATGTCTAGTCCTCTGGTAGTTTACTCTGCACAGTCAGCATCCATAGTGTAAATGTATTCTCATGATGCTAGATTAGAGCGGTTGATCTGTATACACTGCTTTAGCCATTGCAGGACATTTGGCCATTTGGATTTTGTGGAAATGTTTTGGTATTTCCCTTGTAACAAGGGTTTTCATGCTTCCTTTTTCATGTTTTTTTTGTTTTGCTTTTAGTTTGTTGACAAATGTAAATATGCCTGGAAATGGGAGTGCTCTGGAATTAATCCCCATTTTCTGGAGCCAGTGCCTGGACTGCGACTAGTTTTGACCTTTTTAGTTAGGAGCTGTTTGAGTCCTTCATCCAGTGGTTCACTCTCTGGACCTACAGTATGTTTACCCTTGTAAACCTCCGGACACCTTTTTTAAGTGTATGTCATATGGAGAGGTGAACATTTTTAAAATATATATTAGCTATGTTCAGTGTTGCAGTATAACTATACTCAAATGTAATGCCCTGTCAGTTAATTCAGTGAGGCATTTTTGTTACGTTTTGGTTTTTTATTTCTGTGATTTATGAAATCTAAATGGTATTGGATCTTTTTGTTATTTTTGATATGTCAAAGAAGAGATTAGATGTAGCTTAATCATGTTAAAAAGAAGCACTGATATGCCATAGTCCAACATTGGAACGTAAATAGGCTGGAATGATTGTAATGTTCGTTTTTAACAATTAATGTATGACATTAAACGTCACTATTAAAAGTCCCTTTTTTATTAAAATGATTGTTGTCGTCAGTTGGGTGCGGTGTGCAGAGGGGGCGCTGTTCAGAGGCTGTGGTGCTATCATCTATCAAAATGGCCTGAACTAGAGACTTCTCAGCCCACCCAGTCCGCAGAAGCGCAAGCCTGCGTTGAGGCGTGGAGGCAGAAGGAGACAACCGGGCTACAAATTGCTTTTTGGGCTGCAAAGCTCAATGTCAAAAGTCTTCTAAATAAATATGAGGGCTTTAAACTAACATTGACTTCCTCTTATTTTTATTAGATTGAAATTGAAAGATGTGATGCATGTAGAAAGGGATGGAGTGAAGAAGGTGTGATGATGGAATATTTGGGTGGATAGAAGGATGAGGGGTGGATGGAAGTATAGGATAGTGTGGGATAGCATCATTGATTCAACGCTCACAACAGAAGAGGGAATAACAGCACATGATCACCACTTTCTATAAGGAATAAATTACTCATAATGGAGTGTCATCATGAGTCATTGTTAATCAAATCAAATTTTATTTTCTACATGCGCCGAATACAACAGGTGTAGACATTACAGTGAAATGCTTACTTACAAGCCCTTAACCAACAATGCAGTTTAAGAAAAAAATAGAAATTGCAAATAATTAAAGCAGCAATAAAATAACAGTAGGGAGGTTATATACAGGGGGTACCGGTACAGAGTCAATGTGCGGGGGCACCGTTTATTCGAGGTAATTGAGGTAATATGTACATGTGGGTAGAGTTAAAGTGACTATGCATAAATAATAAACAGTAGCAGCAGCGTAAAATAGGGGGTTGGGGTGGGAGGGGCAATGCAAATAGTCCGGGTAGCCATGATTAGCTGTTCAGGAGTCTTATGGCTTGGGGGTAGAAGCTGTTAAGAAGCCTTTTGGACCTAGACTTGGCGCTCCGGTACCGCTTGCCGTGTGGTAGCAGAGAGAACAGTCTATGACTAGGGTGGCTGGAGTCTTTGATAATTTTTAGGGTCTTCCTCTGACACCGCCTGGTATAGAGGTCCTGGATGGCAGGAAGCTTGGCCCCAGTGATGTACCCTTGTAGTGCCTTGCGGTCGGAGGCCGAGCAGTTGCATTTTTACATTTACATTTTAGTAATTTAGCAGATGCTCTTATCCAGAGCGACTTACAGTTATACCAGGCGGTGATGCAACCAGTCAGGTTGCTCTCGATGGTGCAGCTGTAGAACTTTTTGAGGATCTAAAGACACATGCCAAATCTTTTCAGTCTCCTGAGGCGGAATAGGCTTTGTCGTGCCCACTTCACGACTGTCTTGGTGTGTTTGGACCAACAATGCTATGTCTGGCAATGTAGGGTAAGGGTCATTCTCATTTACTACCACCGGGTGGCGACTGCTGCACAGTTTTGTAGAGCTCTTCTACCCGATCCGAGCCTGACAGCCCTGATATTATACATAGGATTAGGGCCGGGTAGGGCCTGTTTTTTCATCAATAACTAGGGTATGGGCAGGGCTCGGGTATCACTAAATTGATCACTAACATTTTGTAGCTGAACCATTTGCTCGTGCTCTGCTGCGCAGTAGAGTCATATCTGACTAAGGTCATAACATGGTGTCAGAAGTACTTCAACCTCGTCAAATATAAAACAGGAGAGACTATTTCACAGAAAATAATAGTGTTCCTTGAGTTTTGTCAGAGTTTAGAGTGAATAAAAGTAGCTAACAGCTAACTGCTGTCTCATGTCTCTTCATTGAGCAGAGCAGCCCACGCAGAGCTGTTGCTATGGATACTCACAGACTCAGAGCAGCCATGAGCAGAGTGCATGCAGAGTGCATGCAGAGCAAGCTGCGTGCAGGGAGCGAGTGACAGATAGGAGCAGCAAATGGATATACTAATGGAGGAAGTTATTTCTGATTTCGGGCAGGGCCTTAAATTTGGCAGAAGCAATCCGGCCTGGGTAGGGTAGGGCCTGAACGTTGCGGGCATGGGTAGGGCTTGGGCTTAAAATTCATGCCTGTGCAGGGCTTTACCGTTTTAGCCATCTAAGGCGCAACACTGTTTTAAATGATGCCCATGTAGGCCTGTATCAGATCTAGTAATAGTAACTGTATTACAACATGTTTCATAATCGTATGTATTATCTAACTTTCTATTGTTGTGTCTTTAGTCCTAGTAGAGTGAAGTACCTATAGGATTAGCCATAAATTGCATTCCAATTTCAGTGCTCAGTAGCCTAGGCCAGAGCTAATAGTTAATGAAATGGCCTATCAAGTTGTTATTCATAGGCTACTCTGACTGTTTAGTAAAAAGGGAGTGTGGATAGCAAACAAATAGTTGATAACTGTTAAAGAGCTAGTATGTTGAATCTTTCAACAAGCTATCAGATTTCTCAATCAAACAATTAATCAGAATGATAAAAGAGGGAAGGAGCCAGCCTGTGCCACTCTTAATCCCAATTTTTACCTGGTTCTAACATCAAATCAAATCAATCAAGCAGATGTAGCGAAATGCTTGTGTTTATAGCTCCAACAGTACAGTAGTATCTAACAATTCACATGTAACAGTGTTGCTTCCGTCACTCTCCTCGCCCCTACCAGTGCACACATCGACAACATTCACCCTCGAAGCACCGTTACCCATCGCTAGCCATTTCACACCGGTTACACTCACCCCCCTTTTGACCTCCTCCTTTTCCGCAGCAACCAGTGATCCGGGTCAACAGCATCAATGTAACAGTGTTACTTTCGTCCCTTTCATCGCCCCTACCTGGGCTTGAACCAGGGACCCTCTGCCCACATCGTCAACAGTCACCCTCGAAGCACCGTTACCCGTCGCTCCACAAAAGCCGCGGCCCTTGCAGAGCAAGGGAAATAACTACTTCAAGGTCTCAGAGCGAGTGACGTGACCGATTGAAACGCTACTAGCGCGCACCGCTAACTAGCTAGCCATTTCACACCGGTTACACACACAATACACACAAATCTAAAAGTTAAATAATGGAATTAAGAAATATATAAATATTAGGACGAGCAATGTCGGAGGGGCATAGACTAAAATACAATAGAATAGAATACAGTATATACATATGAGATGAGTAAAGCAAAAATGTAAACATTATTAAAGTGACTAGTGTTTCATTATTAAAGTGGCCAGTGATTCCAAGTCTAGGGCAGAAGCTTCTAACATGCATCCTTTGTCCTGATTTTGTCCACATTCTGATTTTGCTCACATGTCCAGACAGGTGTAGACTTTTAAAAGACACATTGTGGTCTGATTGTGATCAGATCTTCCTGACTACCTTCTGAGGTACGCATTGTGTTTGGATACCTTACAAGTGTTGACGGATCTGGACATTGAAACCATTTAAATCATAATTATCCCACCTTCTAAAATAATTGACGGGTGGCACCATTGACTTATGGCATCAATATGTGTCTTAAAATAAAGAAATAAATATTATTTTGAAAGAATAGCTGTCAAACTAATTTGCATACAGGGAGGGACCAGGAAATGTGGTCACAATGTGGGCACAGTAGAAGGATAAGAGACACATTTTAGTACCATGTGTACATATTTCTGAAATACACTTATTGATGAAGCCAGTGACTGATGTGGTGTACTCCTCAATGCCATCGGAAGAATCCCGGAACATATTCCAGTCTGTGCTAGCAAAACAGTCCTGTAGCTTAGCATCTGCTTCATCTGACCACTTTTTTTATTGACCGAGTCACTGGTGCTTCCTGCTTTAGTGTTTGCTTGTAAGCAGGAATCAGGAGGATGGAATTATGGTCAGATTTGCCAAATGGAGGAAGAGGGAGAGCTTTGTACGCATCTCTGTGTCTAGAGTTTTTTTTCCCCTCTGGTTGCACATTTAACATGCTGGTAGAAATGAGGGAAAATGGATTTAAGTCACAATGCGGACACAGTGTACGGATAAGAGACACATTTTACTACCATGTGTAAATGCAATGGCTACAATGTGGGCATGATCAGAATGTGGACAAGATCAGGACAAAGGATGTATGTTTAGCACCAGGTATAAACTATGCTTTAGTGAGAGCGTGCATCTGTCCGCATCTGTTGCTGTTACACACACACCCTGACTACCCCCGGGCCCGCTCTCATCCTGAAAGAACAGGAGGCAGGTGGGGCACGCGCCTATTATTCTGACAGCCGCTGTTGTCTTGGCGATAAATCGCCACGCGCCAAGACGGGCAATTATGTTCTTGCTCCTCAGATACTAAACAAAACACTGGCGTGTGCCGCGTGCAAGCTGTTCTCTTCGGCTTCTAATTTCTCCGTAAAAAAACAAAAAAACACGTATATCTTTCAGTTGTCTGCTCAAATAAGTATTTTAACCAATTACAACTTTGGGAAAACAGATAAAGCACACACTTTATATTTAACGTTGCTGCAAGTAGCCTAGATACCAAAATCTTTACAACTTTTGGTTTTGGTGCAATTGCAAACCAATAAGGCATTATTACCTATCAATACTAAACAGTCTCAAGAAACGCATTATGCATAACCGCCACCTTGTTTTATAAGAAACACTAAAATGTAGGCTACACATGTCCAGTGAGTGCATATCAATTTTATATACCGTAACTCAACAAAGAAAACAGGTTAGGAGCTTTATTCAGTTACAGCTCTGCACGTTTTATTCGCTTCAATCCTGGGTCCCATAGGCTCTTTTCTGTGAGATGTTTTCAAACTGATAGAATAGGGGGAATTTCAGTTTTGCACAGTGCTGTTGTTGGATGTTGACAGCGAGCCAAGGCAAGAGTGAATGAAGGTGGGGAGATTTCTTGTAACGTTGTAATCCTGCCCCCACGTGGGGTTGTCAACAAGCGCAACTGTAACACACAGGGACATTTGGTCTCGTCACATACCCAAAGCCAATCACGACAGTCAGGAGGGGAACACCACGCCTCTTGCCGAGAAACTCCGCTGACCTGCTATATAACCACTGCAACGCTGAAAGAGCTCAAAACAACGCAAGAGCTGCCGGTAAACTGTTAACCTGTATCTATCTATCAAGTCTTGAACAAGCCGGATACACACTTGGATTACAATCATGACTCTGGAAATGGAAGAGATCCGTGGACAGGAGAGCGCACTCGATACTGCCGATAGGTAAATAGCCTACACATTTTACAAACGAATGCAAACCTACTGCAGTCTGAACCTTTTGTTAATGTGTTACTATGTAATGACAGTGTGCAGAGAGTAATAATACCGATGTTTCTTTTTCTCTTCAGAGTGCAAATTGCAGGCACAGCCCTGGAGGAGCTGTTGGTGTCTGCAAAGAAGCAGGACTATCTTACCGTGGGAGTCTACGAGTCTGCCAAAGTTATGAATGTGTAAGTACACTCCTAATGGTGTATTTGTGATGCACTAAGTATTTATGCTCCGATGTAAAGCGTAACGTACAATTACAGCATAGGACCAGCTTCTAAACTGCCTCTCATGTTTATTCCAACAGTGACCCAGACAATGTGGCATTCTGCGTTCTGGCGACGGACGAGGAGTACGAATGCGACATCGCTCTCCAGATCCACTTCACCCTCATCCAGGCTTTCTGCTTCGATAACGACATCAACGTGGTGCGCGTTAACGACATCGAGCGCCTGGCTGACCTCGTGGGCACGGACGAAACTGGCGAACCCAAGGACGCACATTGCATTCTTGTCACGGTACGTCCTGATCTACCGGCTTGATCACAAATCATCCAGTCAGCATGTTTTACCCATAGTTTTTACTGATAATGGTCGTCCTGAGCGCTGTCAAAGCAATACGCATGTCAATCATTCAATCTAATTCTATATTATATAGTGTAGCTGCCTATCTTATGTAATTGTCATGATTCTAATACTTGCTCCCTCTCTCTTATTCACAGAGCCCTGGTGCTGAGTCTTGGAAAGACCCTGCTCTGGACAAACTGCATCTGTTCTGTGAGGAGAGCCGCAGTGTGTATGACTGGGTTCCCACCATCACCCTCCCTGAACGCTGAACAACTACACCCTCTGCATGCTTCATTTGATGATGATGAAGATGACGAAGAAAGCATAAAATAATCAGAACCTCAGGGTTTGAAGCCTGCCTGTCTATTGGAATACAAGGCTGTGGCTGTAACCAAGGACCCAGAGTGCGATGTGGGAAGGCAGTGTGGTTCTGGATTACTCATATAGACTGGCTCAGGTGTATGTGGACTGGGCCCATGTCATGTCATGAAAGCCCGGACCAGGATAAAGAGTTGAACTGGAATGAACTCTGCAGTACACAGAGACAGCTCATGACCCTATAGCTGCCCTGGCTAAGGTCAAGGGTTAGGGGTGAACTGAGGAGATGGTCAGAGAAAGAGAGAGGAGGGAGGAGAAGAGATGGACTTGTGAAAATGTGAAACATGGCTGGATGTAAGGTGGTTTTCTTGCAGCAAAATGAGATGTGAAAAAAGGCGGATTTTAGAAGGTTCTCAGAAGAGAAAGGAAAATACTGGACTTTATTTTTTACGTTTTCCAAAGAGACTGGGGAATGCTCGGATTGAAACTCAGAGACATTAATTTTCTTAACATGATGCAAGCTCTTGTTATAGCCTACCACTGAATGGACTTGACAAACATAATTTCATGGACTATGCATTGTATTGATTATTTTACTGTCATTCTGTTTGTTATGGAACTGTAAAATCATTTTACACAATTTCTTAATAAATGCTTTAAACTTTACCCAAGCTGTGATTTGACAAATTATTGTTCTGTGCAGCCATCTCCAGGGATGAGCAGTTTGCACTCATTTGACCCTGTCTCTGATAGAGTGGAATCTGATAGGATGAACCAGCAGCAGAGTGGCATCTGATTGGACAGAGATAGGTGAGGCAGGAAGTGTGGCACAAAGAACCCCAGGCTGCGGCAGAGAGGGAGGGGGGGGGGGGGGAGCAACACAGATGGAGAGAGTAGGAATAACTGGGTGACAGGTAGAGGGAGAGAGGAAGGTAGTAAGGGAGAGCAGTTGCAACACTAGCGGTTCAGACATAAGCTTTTTCAAGCAGGCAAGCAGTTACCTTTGCTCGCCCATACACCAGCTGCTTACTGCGACAGCTTGCACAACCGCCGGAGCCAGGAACCAGGGCTGGGGGGCCAGAGACAGGGGCGGGCTGGAGAAGAGGGGCTAGGGGCCTGTGCCTTAGAGGGCTCTCTTTGTCTACAGAGCATGGCTTCTGCACTGTCAGCGGGGGGCTGTTGGTGTGTGTGTGGCTGGGGAAGTGTGCAAACTGGATTTTCTTAATAAATCATGAAGTACACTTGCACACATTATGTTTCACTGACGGGGATTGCATACTGTTAGGAAATATCAATGCACGCTTACACATTCTGAGGAACAGATTTCCGAGATGCTATAGCTCTTGCACACAAACACTATTGTAAAACACTATTGTAAAACATTACACACATCAAGAAAAGTGAGCACAGCTATGAGGAATTAGCATGTGTATGCATGTGGTCTTTCCAGTAACACATGAATACGCACACACTTTGACATGATAGGAAATGGTCTTTAGAGTCTGGGCTATAGGGGCTGTTAGTTGGAAAGGGGCTCAGGCAGTCAGAGGAAAGGCGGATGTGGTGTGGGCCTAAGCTGACTCTAAACACGTCCACATCAAAGAGTCTGAGTGAAGGGGAACACACACACACACACACTTCCTGTAAACACCCATCATGCTATTCTATGAGTAGAAGACTGCTAAACTGAGTTGAGATGAATAGAAGTCTAGTCAATAGGAATTCCCCCTGTCTATTAGTCACTGGACTAGAAGGCACTGGGCAGTCACTGAAATCCCCCCAATGTGTAGTAATATTATTAACTCTTTCCAGTGACTGTAGGGTTTTTCCTTCTTTCATTTGCACTTGCCCTGAAGCCCAAAATTCCTAAAACCAAAAGTGTTGCACACTAGTCCTTGACTTTAGTCAACTTGTCTGAACTTTTAACACCATATAGAAAAAGGCCACACTTGACCCATTTCCTTAAAGAATGAAAAGCACTATTTCAGTCATGCCCCAGATAAAATAAATCTCCTATCTTGTAGAAATATAAATGTTGAATTTCTCCTTGTATGTTAGGTAAACATCGCCTTGGTCAGTAGCATTTCATTGGTTATTGTTGGATAGCTCCTTGCCCTAGTTTACATGGGGCCCTATACAATTACCTTTAACCCCCTTGAGTCGATTGACGCACCAGTGCATAACAAAAAAAATCCCTATCAAAATCTATCAGTTTAAGCTAGAGATGTCAGTTTTTTGCATTGGATGTGTCTCAATCCAGTGCATCCGCCAGTGTCGCACTTCTACATCTGCAGTGAAAGGTGGCAGAGCTAGAGCAGTGTTTGTCAGATCATAAGACATCCCGAAAATCGGTCTTCTCACGTAAGCGTCTGTAGCGTCTAAACGGTTTTGCCTACAAACTATTATGACCACTCTATGGAAAGGGGAGGGTCCCGTTTTGCTCTACGACCCCACAAAGGAGACTTGTCTGAAGTCGGTACCGTCGATGTGCCAACTTCTGTTTGGTAGCGTCCGAATCGTTTGGGCTACAAACTATTATGAACGCTCTATGGAAAGGGGAGACTCCCATTTTGCTCTACGACCCCAACAAAGGAGACTCGTCTGAAGTCAATACCGTCGATGTGCCAACTTCTGTTTGGTAGCATCCGAATCGTTTTGGCTTCTCCACCGTGACCCCACTGTGGAAAGGGGAGATTCTCACGAACACGATGGTGTTCTCCGTTTTGCTCTACGACCCCCACAAGTGTCACGGGACCAGTTTTAAAAAACGAATGTAAGTATAAAGGTAGTTTTGTGCCTACCCCAAAAAAGGCTTAAATATGTGTAAAAATACAAAACAATATTTCCAGAGTTTTTTTTTATTTCTCCAAGATTTAGGGCAGACACTTTAAAACCTTGTTTCTTATTATTTATTTTTGACTCTCCTTTTTGCCAATTATGAATGTGTTATTCAATGCGTTTCTATGGGCTTTAGTAGTAATGGCCAAAATCAATATTCTATCAAATCATTTTTTTAAATATATTATTTTGATACCTAAAGGGGTCCTAAAATTCTAAATCAAATAGCTAAACGATCCATAGTATGACCATCTTGGTCGGTCCTCTGTAGCTCAGCTGGTAGAGCACGGCGCTTGTAACGCCAAGGTAGTGGGTTCGATCCCCGGGACCACCCATACACAAAAATGTATGCACGCATGACTGTAAGTCGCTTTGGATAAAAGCGTCTGCTAAATGGCATATTATTATTATTATTATCTTAAAACAATTCCATGTGAGTTTAGCACCCCCCTCCCCCAACGTCTTAGATTCTAAAGAAAATGAAACGTCAGATCCTAGGGCAATAAGCTACCTTCCTTGGAAATGAGATTGTATCTCAACAAGACTAACCTAAACCAATGTGAAACCAAAGTAAAGGATCACTGCTTCTGGATGCGTACAGAAACTGCATGGAGTCTCTCTCCACGAGTCGACCAGTTTAACTTTGTACCCAGAACATAAACAACGTGTCTGTTTACCCTGTCTTTACAGGTGCACCATGGGGCCAGTATGGAGGGGGAAGAAGGTTATTCTGGTTTGAATGTAGAGCTCCAGCTGGAAAACAGAACTAACAGGTTCACCTCCTCGTGTTGCTTGCTGTTCTCTTCCACTCGAAGCCCCCTGCAGCAACAGACCTCATCAGAAGCCCGTTTATACCTGGTTCAACATGGGTCCTTTGTCCTGATCTTGTCCACATTCTGGCTGTGCCCACATTTAGACAGGTGTAGACAATTCAAAGACACATTGTGATCTGATTGTGGTCAGAAACGCATTGTGTCTGGATATCTTACAAGTGTAGACGGATCTGGACAGTAAAACCATTTAAATCATAATTATCTCGGGATCTAAAGTCATTGACAGGAGACGCCATTGACTTGAGGCATCGACCTGTGTCTTAAAATAAATAAATAAATATTATTTTGAAAGAATATCTGTTAAATCATTTGCATACAGGGAGGGACCAGGATATCTGGTCAAATCAAATCAAATCAAATTGTATTTGTCATATGCGCCGAATACAACAGGTTCACCTTACAGTGAAATGCTTACTTACAAGCCCTTAACCAACAATGAAGTTTTAAGAAAGAATACCCCCCAAAAATCAGAAAAAAAATCCAATATAAAATTATACGAAATAAAAGTAACAAATAATTAAAGAGCAGCAGTAAAAATAGCAATAGCGAGGCTACATACAGAGGGTACCGGTACCGAGTCAATATGCGGGGGCACCGGATATTTGAGGTAATTGAGGTAATATGTACATGTAGGTAGAGTTTATAAAGTGACTATGCATAGATAATAAACAGAGAGTAGCAGCAGCGTAAAAGGGGGGGGGGGGGGGGCAATGCAAATAGTCTGGGTAGCCATTTGATTAGATGTTCAGGAGTCATGGCTTGGGGGTAGAAGCTGATTAGAAGCCTCTTGGACCTAGACTTGGCTACCACTTGCCGTGCGGTAGCAGAGAGAACAGTCTATGACTAGGGTGGCTGGAGTCTTTGACAGTTTTTAGGGCCTTCGTCTGACACCGCCTGGTATACAGGTCCTGGATGGCAGGAAGCTTGGCTGTGATGTACTGGGCCGTACGCACTACCCTCTGTTGTGCCTTGCGGTCGGAGGCCAAGCAGTCGCCATACCAGGCGGTGATGCAACCAGTCAGGATGCTCTGGATGGTGCAGCTGTACAACCTTTTGAGGATCTGAGGACCCATGCCAAATCTTTTCAGTCTCCTTAGGGGGAATAGGTTTTGTCGTGCCCTCTGCATGACTGTCTTGGTGTGCTTGGACCATGTTAGTTTGTTGGTGATGTGGACACCAAGGAACCTGACGCTCTCAACCTGCTCCACTACAGCCCCGTTGATGAGAATGGGGGCGTGCTCGGTCCTCTTCTTTTTCCTGTAGTCCACAATCATCTGCTTTGTCTTGATCACGTTGAGGGAGAGGTTGTTGTCCTGGCACCACACGGCCAGGTCTCTGACCTCCTCCCTATAGGCTGTCTAGTCATTGTCGGTGATCAGGCCTACCACTGTTGTGTCATCGGCAAACTTAATGATGGTGTTGGAGTCGTGCCTGGCCATGCAGTCATGAGTGAACAGGGAGTAGAGGAGGAGACTGAGCACGCACCCCTGAGGGGCCCCCGTGTTGAGGAGCAGCGTGGTGGATGTGTTGTTACCTACCCTTACCACCTGGGGGAGGCCCGTCAGGAAGTCCAGGATCCATTTGCAGAGGGAGGTGTTTCGTCCCAGGGTCCTTAGCTTAGTGATGAGCTTTGAGGGCACTATGGTTTTGAACGCTGAGCTGTAGTCAATGAATAGCATTCTCACATGGGTGTTCCTTTTGTCCAAGTGTGAAAGGGCAGTGTGGAGCGCAATAGAGATTGCATCATCTGTGGATCTGTTGGGGCGATATGCAAATTGGAGTGGGTCTAGGGTTTCTGGGATAATGGTATTGATGTGAGCCATGACCAGCATTTCAAAGCACTTCATGGCTACAGATGTGAGTGCTACGGGTCGGTAGTCATTTAGACTGGTTACCTTAGTGTTCTTGGGCACAGGGACTATGGTGGTCTTCTTGATACATGTTGGTATTACAGACTCAGACAGGGAGAGGTTGAAAAAGTCAGTGAAGACACTT